GGAATATGTGTCAATGCCATCCTTGGCCCTAAAGGGCCTTGGTCTGCCTTCCGTTCTTGGCTGCCTGGTACGTTGTGCCCGCTGTCTCTGTTGTGGTTCAAGTTTCTTTTAGAAAGAACACTGATGAACTTATTGTGTTGCAGGCCTGTATGGCTATGGCCGCCTGCGAGTACATAACGCCACTTCCTTGCACTGGGAGCAGGTGTATGACATCACAGGATCCGTGGAAGATGCCATTGAGATTGTGCAGCACCAGCATGCACCATTTCCACACGCACATTGAGTTGTACCACATCAAAGTTATTTATTTGTCATAAAGTGCACTGAAATATATCTTAATGTGGTTTTGGGTCCACTGTGTGTTTATGTGTGCACTGTGCTTGCCAGATTGGCCACACCACAATGTCAGAGGCTGCAAGAAGGCACACACAAACCCTCTGTGCCACACAACAAAAAGGAGAAGCAGCAAGCAGAGGAAGAAGCACATTGCAACAAGAAGATGAAGGCTGCAATCCAAGGACAAGGGCTGCATGGTGAAAAAGACACCAACATGGCAGAACAAATTATCTCCACCAGCCATCACCAGGTGGATTGCTGGTGGGGAGTGATCAAGGCAGCAGTACAAGGCAGCATCTGCCACAGTATGCATGCACAACATCACTCATAGACCACACACCACCTTCCCCAAAGGGGTCCTGAGACCACCCAAAGGAAGATCAAGAATCTGCACCAGCCCACGGTGGAGAAGACACAGAAAGGAAGGGAAAAGTGGAACCACAAAACCGCCAACCAATGGGACAAGACCAACCACTTCCCCTTGCTCTCTGCTCTTCATTCCTTCCACTTGCCCCTTTGGCCTTCCCCTAAAACTTGGCCATAGGAACCGGCGTCCGAACCGGCGTCCGGGACCTTGGATGCCAGGAATAAGTGGCTTTGAGAGGAAAGCAAGTTTTCATGTGTGGCAACCAACCCTTGTGTGCAATGCACAACGACACTGCACTGCACTTTACACTTGCTCTTTGCCTGGCGACAGATCCTTGTGCAGAAGCTGCCGCAAGTTGCTTATGACGTCGTTGCTGCCCTTGTCATTGTCCCATAGGTAGGTCTCAACAGCATGGAAATGGGTAGCCAAAAACTTGTGCAGCCTGATGAGGGCGTCGTTATGCGCTCGCAGAGGGACCTGGCAATCCATTAGGAGTTGAGTGAGTGGGTGCCAAATCAGGAGTAACCCAGGAAGAGGAGGGCGAGGTACATTGCAATCAGCAAGTTTGCCTTGTTCGGGATGGCTCACCATCTTGTCATAGAACTGGTCAAGGGCAGGCTTGTTGGCGACGATGAAAGTCGTTGAGTTTCTCCATGTAGGCCTCCTTCACGCTGGGAAGTGTATTGTTGGCGAGGTTCTGGAGCACCTTTGTCACCAGTATCAACTGTCGCTGAGCTGTCTGTTGATGGGTTGTTCCCATGAGCCAATGAATGACAAAAATTGTGGGAGTGAGGCGTGGCCTAGCAAACAGTCTCATACCAGGTGAGGAGGTTCATTGAGCAGTCCATGAACCTGAGGCGCCAGGAGCGCTGGGCATATGAGCCTCAGGAAGAAGAAACCACCCATCACTTGGAACATGGCCTCCTCACTGAACTTGCACTCTACCTGCACATGGCTTGTAAGTATGTTGTATTGGAGAGGCGCATAGTGGTAGTGACGGTGGCAGGTGCCGGGTGGTGGTGAGTGTACTTCATCATGTATATGCTGAATGAGCATGTGCAGTTCCTGCAGGAGTATCTTCTCACTCTGGGTGATGAGCTTGAACATCTTTTGCACAGTGAGCCACAGCTTGAGGGTGTTGATCGTGAGATCCAATACGTCATCCAATTTCTGAGCATCACCACGCCCAAAGTATGAGCACCCACATGTGTTGACATCTCAAGGATCATGGGTAGTGGCTCCTACTAACCTGTGGGTTGAGCTCCATTGATGACACACCAAGGATGTCCAGCAATATAGAACTGTTTTCACTGTCATCAAGCCTGTCCACATCCATTTGATACTGTTTACTGAACAAGCTCATCACTTGTCCTGTCTCATGGCGTGCAGTAACTGTGCAACACATGGTCTGCCAATGACCACAATCACAAAGGAGGTCAGCAGCAGTTGTTGAGGTCAGCAATGTGAGCACGACAGTACGTACATTTCGCTGTCATTGTCGCGGCATTGTCGTTGAGCGAGTGCACGGCGAGCACAAGCAGCTGCCACAGATACCTGAGCGAGGTCATCCACATGTACATGGTGAACAGTTTGGCCACAGTGCTGTTCAAGCGAAACAGAGTGCTCTCCTCGTCGGCGTCGCTGACCTTGATCACAATCATCTGCGCGATAAAGTTGTAGGCCTGGTACTGGCCTGCCAGCACACGCACCAGTGATCAGTACACCTGTCGGAGTGGGGTCCGGTGTCAGGCTGCAGCCCAGGGAGTATGTGGAGGGATTCAGGACTCAGCGTACCACATCCCTGTCGCTGACATCGGCCGTCGCACATATGGCAGAGGCCAATGGTGGTCGGGTGCGCCCAACAAATGCTTGAGCTCCTGGTACTCCTACACATGGGTGCAGGGAGGGGGGAGAGGTCATGGTGGGCACATCCTGAATCAAGCAACTGGTGGCTAGGGAGGGAGAGAACCTCTTGCAGTTTCTTGGGCAGCATGACATCCTCCTTGATGTTGCCGTACGCCATGGCCTTGTAGTCCAGTTGGATGAGCTTGTGGTAGGGCGAACGCCCCCTGCACACTCCCCATACGACCACAGCCATGACCAGTAGGAGGCAGCACAGCAAACCGCCGCCCACTCCTCCCAATACCGCAATACCACCAACAAGCACTGAGTCCAAAGACAAGCCACCACCTGTGGGGCTAGATTGCATGGAGTGTGAGAGTTGAGTGGGGTTGAATACATGCATGACGCCCTTATGAAGGGACATGTACTAGGGGGCTGGTGAAGGGATGGTGTTGATGGAGATGGTGAAGTTGGTGGTAGCCACAGACCCACCACCATTGTAGATGAGGCAGTGGATGACTGCTCCATCCCATCCCAGAGTGCCATTAAGCATGAGTGTACTGGCTGTCCCTCCAGGAATGGGCTCAAATTCCTAAGTGGGAGACATGCATCAGCAGGAGGACACCACTGTCAATCATGGCATTGGTGGGTATATGGTCACTTGCCTCAACCTGTACAGTGTCTCTCTGCACAAAGAGTTCCTGAACAATTAACAAGATGTCAGCAACTGTGAAGAACAACTCTGGGTACTTTAGCAAAAGGAAGGAAGTGTAAGACAGTGGTACATAGCCGCCATGGTTGCGCTTGACTAGGGTCTCATTGACAGTAACATTGATCTCCTTGGTGATGAGCTGCTGCCATTGGTACGTGGGCGCAGGCAGGCCTGAGCCCTCCATGGTTATGGGATAGCCTACCATGCCCTCTGTGGATGTTCCCATGGGAAGTGTCATGATGATGATCTGTGAGACTGAAGCATGAGCATGAGCAGCAGTAGTGTACCTGGGATCTTGATGATGTCTGTGGTGGGCTGGTGAGTGAGAATGGGCGCGCTGGCTGTGGCAAAGGCAGTGAGTGTGGCCTGTCTTGTGATCTCCCCGTCAGAGGCACAGATCTTGACCTACACCAGGACCACAACCATCATGATTTGGCCTGTCAGTCACATATTGGAGCCAACACACACACATGACACAGGAGTGAAAGTGATGAATGTATGGTAGATGAGCTGACAGCTA